CTAAACAGCTTCTAGTTCCATATTTTTAAAGCCAAATACATTACATAAAAGAGTGAGATCTTTAAATCATGTAATTAATTACTATTAAAAGCTTTTCTGTATATTTTATTCTTTAACATTTGGTGTTGATATGAACTATATGTCAATGCTTGACATTTGGAATTAATCCTAYATGTTTTTTCTTGTTCGAGTTGGTGCAGAAGTTTTACTTTATTTCGTCTCTTTGTTTCAGTGCTTTTGCTGTTTGTATTTTTTCTGACGAGGACCAGGTTTGTTGCTCTGTTTTGAAGAGGAAACTGTTTACATGCCATGAATGGAAAACAATGAATAGTATGATATGGTATTATTGCATTACAATCTGCAGTGACATCTACTATAAGGCATCCACATCCATGTGGCTTAGGTGATGGGCTAAAATGCCAAATAAGTAAGAGTGCCAAATTCCAGTGCCAGTAGATATATAGTCTTATTCTAATAAATCACTGTCATCTCAGTGAATGTAAATGACTCTGATACATTCTGTAACTTTTGTATCTAGATGTACAGTTGGTGGCAATGACAGTGCTAATAACAATAGCCTTTCTTTTGCTTTGTTTTCCAGTCTCCATGTATTTTGCATTGATCTGACAATGTAGTAGCACCACTTGCATGTTGTTGCCACAAATACTAAWGTTTATTTCATAACTTGCCAAACCTGCATTATTTCAATGTTGAAATCGTGAGGTTACCTGTTTGAAATTGGAAATATAATGTAAGATATTTATATAGATAAACACTAAATATATACATAAAGCGTATATTTTATAGAAAAAGTTCAAATCTGAAAAAGGATGTCTCTRTCAGAGAACAGTTTTGCTTCCATTAAAACCTGAAATTAAATTTCTTATTCCAAAAATACTTCTTTTTTAGTTCTACAGATTCACTGTAAGTTATCTACACAATTTTAACAGATGAGCACTTTTTTTCATTTTATTTCTCTGTCAAAAATCAACCTGTGTGAGCTGCAACAGGCAGAAACAAAATGTGTATTATTATCACTGTTGTTTAATGAATTAAATAATAGAAACATTAAGTAGTTGTTAATTAATTTCATTGCATTTTCAGGCTATTCACTGACATTTTGTATTTGGAATGTGTGCTAACTTCTTTATTTTTGGGGGACTCTTTCTAAATAAAAGTTACCGATTTCTTGTTATGTTCAGTGTTTTATTTATTTAGAACTTGCAATTAATTCTGAAGCAAAATTAAATCAC